ACCTTTAGTTCATTTATAACTTTCTAAGATCAAAATCTTATTTAGCTTTTTGCTGTTTATTTCAGATTTTTAAAATTCTTAGGCTTATGATTAAAATTTTCTTTCGTTCAGGATTGAAGGCAGACTCACCTGGCATTTTCAAACTTGTCATTCTGAAGGCCTCTAATATCTTAGAAGTAAATGAGCAATTTCCGAAATTGATTAGAAAGGGAGGTTTGCGGACTTCGTGTCCTTTAAATGGCTCTACTGCAGTTGGGAGCAAGATGGTTGATCCCTTTGCCTCCCAATGCTCAAACCCACAGAAAACCGCTGTTCTGCAGTCTCCTTGCAAGGAGCAGCTGTCCAGAGCACGTGTGGGCCATCTCCTGTCCTCTCTTTATCTGAAGAGTTTCCAAGGGCCTGGTCTACTCACCGGTTCCTTGGTCTTTGCTGCAGTCGTCAGCTCCACTTTCACAGAATGGTCTTCAGTTCGCCATACCTCCCCCGGAAGTTGGTTGGGCTGCGAGATGATGAGGTTGTCATGTTGGCTGGCTCGTTGGAATTGCTGAGCCCATCACAAGGCTTGGAGAAGAACCATCCTGGTCCTCATGGTCAGCCTCCATTCCTGACTCCAACCCGAGAACAGTGAGGGCAATCAGCTGAATGTGCAAAGTTGAAAATACCAGATGTGCCAGCCCTACAAGTAGACTAGATCAGGAAACTGACACTGTGACACTGACACAGAAGACCAGAATTCTCCTTTATTGAGCTAGGCCAGTGTTTTTCAAACTTGGCAACTTTAAGCTGCGTGGACTTCAACTCCCAGAATTCCCCAGCCAGCTGAACCAGTCTGCTTCAGCACCGGTTGTTGTCCATGGCTTTTGGATGGCACCTCAAAGGTACCTGTATGGCTCCCCACATCTTGGTAGGGAAGAGCTGGGTGGGAATAATAGTCTACCCTGTATTGATCGTGATTGTGGAATCAGGGAAAGACCCTGAACTCTAGTACGATTCTGTCTGTCCTGCCTGGATGAATTCTGTGCCTTAATCCCCATGAGCAAATGGTGTTCAGACAAAAATTGAGAGATCACTGATACAGTGTCGTAGCCAACAACATTGCATAAATGTGTCTATGAAGTTAATAAGGCTTTGAACTTCACTTGTAAGAGATTTTATTTTTTAACTTTGGAGATTGGGTCAAAATACCCCAAAGAATTTTGTTAGAGTTTGTTTGTTGCTGCTCCAATCATTCTGGTAATGTTGGGAAGCTATTTAAAACTACAGGCTGTGACCCCTCTTTAAGGAAAAATGACTTCTTGCCTTTATTTTATTTACCGTTTCTGCAGCCTGGGAAGCACCAGGCGTTAAAGCTGTGCAGTGACTTTGCTGGGAGACAGTTCACAACCGAAGAAGCAAACGAGCAGCGTAAAGAAGTTGGCTTGCTAAACCTGGGGAAGATGCTGTGACCGATTATTCCTGAGACCAGCAAGAGGCTTGTGAGGCCGGGGTGCGTCGGCCGCGTTGTTCTTCCTCTTCTTCCATTGTTTCGGGTTGGGCTGGCTTGGGGCATTCTGTCCAGATCCCGCCATTCCTCCTGGGGTGCATGGGCTGTGAGGGCCCCCCTGCACGGTCTCTAGCGTCGTGCCTGGCCAGAGCCCAAAGGATATGGGGGCAAGGGGGCTGCTGGCTTCTTTTCCTGGATTTATTCCCCCAGCAGTCTTGGACTGCAGTTCCCATCATCCACCGGCCCACCATGCCCAGCAAAGGCGCGCTTGTTTCTTTCAGGCTTTATGGAAGTATTTGGTTGGGACTGGCACCAAGAACAGCCTTTCTGAGAAGACCCCAAACTTGGCAGGATGCCACTCCCTACAGAAGCTGTGGGACTCCAGCTCTCATCACTCTTCACTAGGGCTGGATAATGGGAGGGAGAGTCCAGAACTTCTGCAGAAAATCAGGCTAAGGAAGGGCCACATGTCGCCTCCCAATGTCACCACACTCCCATTCCCATCATCCCCAATCCGCAGGGCCTGTGCTGGGGGATGCTGGGGGATGATGATGGGGGAGTCCATCCAGAGCCAGACGTTACAGTTACTCTACCATCATCCCCTATCCGAAGGGCAGGTGCTCGTGGATTATGGGTGCTGGAGTCCATTTTGTGTTCCTGTTGGCCACAAAAGAGCGGCAGGCTCGTCTACCGGAACGCGACGTCCAGTCGACACACTGAGTCAGGGAATCCTTTATTCTCTTTATTTATGGAAGCGCTTCAGCAAAACAGGGTCCCGCCTCTCCCAGGAGAGGAACCCCAAGCGAAGTTTTATATCAGTCTTTATGCTTGTCAAAAATAGGGAAGCAGGCATGTAAAAAACCATGGTTGCTGCGCAGACGCCCTCAATTCCATGCTACATGCTAACGTCCCGTAATGAGCTTGGCGTGTTCTGTGTTTTCTGAAATTTCCACCGGAGGGGTGCGCGTTGTACCAGGTTAATTAGCCTTTGCTACGCCCGGGGCGCAGGGCCTCGTGACTGGGCCGCTCGACAGTTTCTGAACACCTCAAAACCTTCTGCTTCCCTTTCATTTGCTGCGCGACCCACATCCTCTTGGAACTCAACCGCCGGCGTTTTATAGGGTGCTCTAGTGAATATGCACTCTTAATATGCTCTAGTGAATATGCGCTCTTAATATGCTGTAGCAAATATGCGCTCTAACAATATCCTACTATGTGGCCCTCACTCCCCCTCCCACCGACGCCGATCAGAGGGCCCGGGCAGGTGGATGATGGGAGATGGAGTCCAAGAACAGACGGGCCGAAGCGCGGGAAGGGCCGCGCCCGCGCCTGCGCCTCCGTTGCTAGGCGACGGCTTCCCGGCGCGCTCTTCT